ATTCAAACCCAGTGCTCTGGTTCCTGAGCTCAGGCTCGGCTCACCTGTTCACCTGCTTACCTGGTCCTTTCATTGACTACTCAGCAACTTTTACAGAGTGCCTTCTGTGGGTCAAAGGCAGGGCGATGGGCCGTGAAGAGCGGTGTCGCTGACCAGGCCAGTGGCCCTGGGAGAGCGTTTCACTCCACGGTACCCTGTTCCCCGAGGCCCGGGCAGGAAGCTATTCCTTCCCAGAAGACACTGGACCCAGGCTGATCCAGGGTGAGCCTGCAGACCTGAGTCCGAATCCTGGCCCTGCTGCCTCTCGGTTAAACCTCGCAGTCGCTCACGCCTTCCTAACGCGGTAACGCTCACTGATGGTGGCTGCGCGTGCTCGGTCAGGCTCTACTCCAGGCGTTTTTGCGAGGCTGCAACAACCCGTGAGGGTTGGAACTTGCGGGCAGAATCGTCACATGGTCAGCACCTCGGCCAGGCCTCCTGACCGACTGGCCTCCTGCTCTGGGGTGCCCAGAGTGTCCCGTTAGAATGTCCACTGGGTCACATCAATGCTGTGCTTGAATCTCTCGGGAACCCCTATAAAGCCCCGTCGCCTGGGCCCGCAGCACCTCAGGGACCCGGCCTCACCCCGTCTGGTCTGACTGCCCCTTGCTCGACTTCCAGAAGCATACCTGGCTTCTCTCACTGCGGGGCGGCACCCCTGAATGTGCTCTCCCCAGGGCCTCCCGAGTCTCCCCTCCGACCCCATTTCTCCGCCTGCACCGCAGCCCCCTCGCCATAGTGGACGTCAGAGGCCTGGGTCCAGGTCTGCTTGGTGCTGTCTCCTCTCTCCCCTGCTGCACTGGACACCAGCGTCTTCTGTCCACCAGCACGGCACTGGCATACAGTAGGTGCATAATAAAGACCCGTACAAGAAGGACAAGGTCAAGGGTTACCTGGCCCGTTCCTCCACGCAGGCCAGAGAAGACGTCCTAACACCTTTGCTGCTCTTGTCACTGTGCTGGAGGGGACAGGACACCCCTTCTGTTTCTTTAGTCCCTGCCCGCAGGGGGGCCGAGGTGGTTAGGACTCTGTCCCGCTGGTGTGAACGCTGGCCACGCTCCAGCTGGGTCGGACCCCGCTCACCACGCAAGGATGTGCTGGTGCTGGTGCTCCCAGGCTGCTCGGTGCCTGCCCCTTTCTCACGCACATATATCTTCACACTGTGGGGCACTGCAGGGCGATTTATCATCGCACGTTAATGTCTGCCCGCGGGGTGCATTCCTGAGAAAGCTGCAGCTTGGAGATCACCCGGGTGGAGGGTTTTCCCAGCATTCTGCCCATTGGAGGGGAGGCCAGCGCAGCCCCACCTGCGCAAAGGCCATCGAGCACCCACCTGGGGCGCCCCGCGGCCNGGTTCCTGTCCATCCAGGAACCTGAGAATATGGTGACATTTGGCGATACGACCTGTGCAGATGTGATCAAGGTAAGCTTGGAGATGCGGTCACCTGGATTCGGTGGGACCTGATCCAACAGCTGTTCTCCTTTTAAGAGAGGGGAATTTGGACACAGACAGACACGGGAGAAGGCGATGTGACGACAAGGCCAAGATTAGAGCTTTGCATCTACAAGCCAAGGAACGTCAAAGGACTGCCAGCAGCCGCAAGACTCGGGGAGAAAGCCATGGAAGGGAATTCTCCCACAGAGCCCCGGGGATCCAACCCTGCCGACACCTTGAACTCCTGGCCTCCAGACGGGGAGGATAAATGGATCAATGTTTACGCTGCCTCCTCTGTGCTGCTTTGTCACAGCAGCCCCAGGACACTGACACACCCTCCTGTTGACCGGTGACTTGCCAGGCCTTGCTTGTTTTTTTGCATTTGTGCCTGGAAGACATTTCCTCTCCACTTGTGTGAGAAACTCCATCCTTCCTCAGAGACTCACCTTCCCGCTGCCTCCTCGGGTCATCCTAACACCACAGCTTGAAAATGCGTCTCTGTCTTCTGTCCCCTGCTTGGCATCTTCCCCTAGTGTCCCAGGGGTAGGTCCTCCTCGAGGGACACGATTGTGGACCACGGCTACCTTCCGCCAAAGTCAGGGTGACAGGCCCCACCCTCTGTAAATCTCTTCTCCACGTGCATTTCTTCTGTCTCTTTCCCACTGTGACTTGGGGACAATGAGGTGACTCAGAAATCCAGCCCAGCCAACTTAAGTACAAAGTGAATTCATTGTCTCCCAGGACCTGGAGTTCAGGATGGTCCACGGTCTTGAACTAGTGGTAAGGTTGATAGTAAGGTGCGTATTTTGTTTCCAGTGCATTTGATGGAAGTTAATATTTAATGCTCTTTGCTGGTCAAGTTGTCCTGTCCCTGACTGAAGATATCTGTTCCTGGAATGTGACTTTCTTCCTGGGCATTTCTCTGTGCTGTGCCCTTCTGAGCTGCCTGTGGGAGGGTCCGAGCACCAGAGCCCGCACCCCACCCGGGTGGGCAGGACAGCCCAGAGCACCCAAGACGGTCTGAGCTTCGAGCCTAAAATCACATGACCTTTGAATCTTGGGCCAGAACAAATCCACCTGTGGTTTAAGGTTAAAAGGATGTTTCATAACAACTGCCACCAGGAAACAGTGTCCTATATCCAGTATCATAATGGGCCTTTGCAAAAAAAGGAAGAAAGAAAGAAAGAAAAAAGACCCACAATAAAATAGAATAATGGAGTCTCTGATGCCATTTGTGCAAATGTCAGTATTGAGGCTAAAGAGATGCCACTGGAAACCTTCATGCTTCCTGGGCC